GACATCCAACTTGACTCTTCTGCTGCAAAGGAATATGAAAGGACTGAGTTGCTGGGACATCTTCTTCAAATATGAGGGTCGTTGGACTGAACTGGTTTGCAGGTTGCTTCTAGTTCTCAGTGGAGTCTTTTGTACATGAGTAAAGACCTGATGCTCATTGCTGGTGCCACTGAAAGCAGCATTGCTCTAAGTCACACACAAAAATACTGGCCTTAAAATTGCCGCATCTTGTCGGCTGAGAGGGATCCTACCCTTGAATCAGTTAGAGGCTTGAAGACTTACATTTACTCGTCCAGACTTCTCCATAGCTCACTAATGAAATGGAACGTTCTCCTTGAGCCATATTTTCCACCTTAAACAAGTAAATGGATTTTCCAAGATGCCTATATTCCTAATACCCATAGAGATAGAGGAAGTGAGTATATCCTAGTGGGTACTGATTGAAAAAGAAACTTTATTTTAAAGCAAGGAAACTTCATAGACTGTAGGAAATAATTACCACTGTGGAAAGACTTGTCTCCAGTAACATGGTTTAAATACTCGCAGTCCCAAAACTGGGCAGCCAGTTAATCCTCTAGCAAGCACTTTCTCGTATAGAGAGGCACAGATATTGTGATAAATATGTCACTCTCTATGAAATATCTCTATGCTTATATATAAAAATATATACATTTTTACATATAAAGTATTGGTACATATCATATATATATCACAACACAGGAATATATATGTAGCATATATGTTTCCTTCAGGATAGGAACTCAAGCTCAATAGCAGAGGAGATCAAGTATAATTTATCAAAGGCAAGCATGACAATGACCCTCAATTGACGAGGCATCTAGAGCTAGAGTGGTAATTACCTCAGCCTACTCAGTGTCCCCTAAAGGTCACTGAGACAAGGCCTTCAAAAGGAACACTGTTGTCAAGGTCTTATTTTCAAATGGAAAAATAAGACAGCACCAGAAGCTGGCAAGAGGCTGGGAGTGGGTGGATGAACGGAGGCGTGCCCTGCTCTCAGGGTTCTCCGGCTCCAGGCTACTCTGCGGACGGCGCTGGATGAGGGAGCTGGGGCAGGATGTCACTGCTACATGCAACACAAATACCAAAAGAAAAGAGGAACTGAAACTGTACAGAAAATAAAAGAAGTATCTCTTCTAGAAAAAGACAGGGGAACTGGACTCTGGGCTTCTGGGAACCCGTTTTACTCACAATATATCACTACCAGTGTGCAGTTAAAATAGAGTAGGGCCCGTATTCCAAGGCAGCAAAGAGGAAAAAAAATAAATCAAAAATATGTCAATGATTAGAAGTTAAAGAAATTCCTTCAAACACATTAATTTAGGCATGACTTGTCCCCTAGGAGTCCACCCTTTGGCAAACTTTTAGAGGCTATGGAGGAGAAAATGTAAATCATTAGACCAGCTTTGTTACACAGAGAAAGAAAATCAGTGAGTAGTGGACTCTGAGAGCTTGCTCCTTGGCCAGAAAGCTGAATTTGACTCTCTTCCTTGATGGAGAGCTATGAAGAAATGGAAAGAAATGCACAAGTTAAACTATACTACCACAGAATTTTCAGAAATGGAATGCCCACATTCAGTAGTTCTCCAGATAGTATGACATGAAGCATTTAAGGTTACTGAATGAAAGCGAACAGGGAGGTGGGGGAAGGGTTAGAAACGGAAGAGCTAGGTTGGGAAGGGAGGGTTAGGAAGTTGTAGATAAAGACCAGTGACTGTCACCAGCTCGGCCCTCATGGAGGTGTATCATTCCAGAGTGAATTATTAATACCTGGCCTAACAGGTTTGGAGAAATGACTATGTGGGTCAACTGCCCTCTCCAACTCAGGGCACCAGGCAATGTGCATTCAAAGGCACAGGAACTCCCCCAAAGCACTATTAACAATTCTAGCTCCTTCTAATGAAAGTTTCTTTGCAACCAAAACCTATCTTCCCCAATTTCCTCACTTTCCTGGTATGCATGGGGAGATTCATGCTTAATAATTCATTTTATTCTAACCACCCCTTACACGTACACATCTGCATCCTGCCCTCTGTAACACAGGCTGCTATGGCCTTTTAATTAGGAAGAACCATGTCTGGACAATTTGATTGTTATGAAATATTAACCTCACAGCTGAGGGTGTCTATGAAATGAAGAGCCCAAGGCAGGCATGGGGTGCAGAGAGAAGGGAGGGAGACCCTTGTCACACTGGCTTGGCTTTGGGGAGGTGGTCCTTTTGCAGCATCTGTGCCGAGCATGATGGGGGATCATACGCTTCATTAGCTGAACCAACTTTAAGGGAAATGAAGAGAATAAAATTATTCCAAACACTTATGTGCCTCTCTCTCCAGGATGAAGTTAACGTCAGCTTCTGTTTGCTTGCCTGGAACCATGATGGAAAATTATCCTAGAGGCCAAATCCTCATTTCTAGAGACTTAATAAACTGTGTGCTGGGTTCCACTACAGTGCCCTGTGAGGAACATTCCAGTACCAGAGTGGAAGTCAAAATGCTCTCTCTTCATCCTTCCACTTCCACTCTTGCCTCCCTAGAATCTGTTCTCTGTCCAGTCACCAGGAAGATTCTTTAAAATAGGAATTGATGATGTCATTTCCTTGCTTAAAATCTTCCAATGGATATATTTATTATAGGACTAAAACCCAAGTTTCTTACCACAGCCCCGCCTTCCTCTCTGATCTCTTCTTGTACCACGCTCTCCCCAATCCCACCAGCCCCACTCACCTTCTTCCTTCCCTCAAACACTACAGACTTATTCCCACCTCTTGGCCTTTGCCCTTGCTCTTCTGCCTACCTGGACCGGGTCTCAGTGTCACCTCCCAAGGGAGGCCTTCCAGACCTTTCAGCTAAAGCAGCATCCCTACAAGGTTCTTCACTCTCTCGGGCGGTCTCCTCTCTCTTCATAGCACCTCTCTCCATCTGAATGGATTTAATGGTTTCTATGATCACTGTTTGTCTACATTCATTAGAGTGAAGACTTCAGGAGGGCAGGGACACTCGTTCCCTAGTACTAAAAATAGCACCTAGCACAAAGAAGGTACTCAAAAATATGTGAATGATTAATCAATAAGTGAATTTCACTGATACCCCCATGGACCTAGGTTCTCTGGCAAACATGCTGTCATGGGTTATTGGCCTCAACACTCTCCTGGGCTTCCCAACCACCTCCACTACAAGAGTGTCCTTACAAAGGAGTTCACCCTCTTGCATTTGTTCCTCTCTGTTTACTTCCACCTTGCTGTGCGCCTTCTGATGGAAATAATCTGGGACACGCCTGCTCAGCTGAGCTGTGCTTCTGTGTTCACAACCAGCCCTGAGCAGAGTGGGGTGCACTGCCTCGTGAAAAGGGCCTTTTGTGTGTCATGGAGTTGGGGGGATTCGTGGGGAGTGGGTTTGTTTTGTACCTTACATGCCCTTAGACGCTCTTCCTGGTAGGTTGTCAGAATCAGAGAATTCTTAGGCCCCAAGAAGTTCAAGGCTCTTGTTCTGAGACATCAATAAATACTCATCTTGGTGAGGTGTCAGAATTGAGTGAAGGCTGTGTGTTGTCAGTGGAGAAAAGGGGAACAAAACTGTGGGCCTAAGCTGCCCCAAACTTGGGAATCAGCCTGAGAGAATTTCTCCAGAAACTGCTCTAGACCAGGAGTGGTCCCCATGGGTATTTTCCTAAGAGAATGTCTTCTCCATGCTCCAGCAGAGTGATACTTATATCTCATTGGTTGTGTGTTTACTGTACCCCCCTTTGGGAGGGCAGTGAAAAAAGCCTTTGCTTCAGTTGGTGTATTTCAGGAATGGTGCTCTTCTGTCTGGTTTCTACTTGTGAAAAGTATTTTACGGGATGATCTTTCACAACTGGGTTCTTACTAATCAGACCCAAGGTCACTCACTTGTCCTTCTCTCCTGCAAAAAAAGATGAGGGCATTGAGAGCACAGTACCAACGGGCCTGAACGCCAGCCTGTTGGGTCTGTGTGACTCTCAGCAATCTCACCCTCACACTAAACTTAAAGCCTTAGTGTCCTCTTTTTGTAAAACAGAATTAGTAACACCCCTGCTGCCAATTACACAGGGTTACGGTGAGGATCAAAGAAAATAATGATCCTAAGAAGCTTTGAAAAGACCAAATCACCATAGGAAGGAAGGCATCATTACTACTGTTGTCTTTAGGGCTGTGAACAATTTCTATTAGGCAATGCAACGTAATTAACTGCAAAAGGCACAGGCTTCTCAAGGAAACGCCCACTTTAAGCCCCGGTTTCTCAGGGGCTCACAATCCAACATTCCTGACTGACCATATCTTTTTTAAGAGGCCCCACTGGCAAGCTGCTTTGGAAGGGATTTGAGAGAGGATATGCAGGAGGCTGCTGAGCCCAATCTAGTCCACCCCAAAGGGCATGTGTTTGAGGCTGGTCACTGGGACAATGGCAAAGCCCATGGGTGATGGCCAAGTTCTTTTCTTAGGCTAGTCTAGGGGTATCACAATTGAAAACTCCAGTCTTTGGTACCAAAACCTGCAGCAATCCCAAATGGAAAGAGAGTGAGCTCCCATTTGGGAGACCAAGTCCTCAGACTCAGTTTCCCTCTCAGCCCTAGTACGGCCATCTTTACACTTAGTCCCCAATCTGCTGGAGATCACTACTCAAAAATATTCCCTCCTTCACATCCTGAGCTGTCCTCCTTTTCACACACTGTACTTACTTTGTTGGACTGGATGCATCTACCTGGGCATCCCTTTAGAGTCAAGAAGTGGGGATTAGGCACTAGCTTCACTCCTGGGTGCTGATGGTGGTGATTTCTCATCCTCTGCTTTAATAAAGCGAGGACAGATATTTATTTCCTATCTCTTTAAACTGCTGGGTGAAACACAAACATATGCAAGAAATCTCTTGATGTTTAGTGTTTCTTTAATAGGAAAAGGAGAAGGGAAAGGACTTTGGGGAAAGGGAAGGAGAGAGGGAGGGAAGGGGGAAAGAAACACTACTTACGCCGTTTGCAGCCACATTTTTTTATTCTTTTGGGATCTGTGATGTCATCATGACAGGCCTTGCAGTAAAAAAATGCCCTGGAGAAAGAAAATGGAAAAACTGACACGTTTCATAATCCACCCAAATGAAACGAGTACCACATTTCCTCCACTGTGGTGCCAAATTAATGAAACACGCCAGCACTAATTTCCTTTAATCTTTTGAAACGTTTAGACATTTACAGACGGAAATGTTTGTTCCAAGACCATTTATTTCAAACACAGGACTCTGGAATTTGAGTTAGTGCTTCTTTTAATAAACTTTCATTTGAAAAGGAACGGGGGAAAGGTTGTTGATGTGACACACTGCGTCTGCTTGCTCATCTTTCATTTTTGAGAAGAGCATTCAATGCAGTTCACCAGGACATGTGGGCAACACCTGGATCCTAGGTGGGGAAGTTAAATATATGTCCGAAATTCTCACGATCTAGTCCAATACATTAAAGGGGAAGGATGATGTTCCTCAGTCAAATGAAAATATTAGCCTTGTCACTCTGAATGCACCATTTCTTTTCAAAGTGAGAGAGGTTGAGGAGGAAGGTGGAGTGGAAAAAACAAAAGTGATGCATCAAGCGAGTCTTCTGTCAAAATCCTTCTGGGATTTCACAGCCATATTGACTCCCAAACCGGAAGGAGCAATTCCCATACTCTCCAGCCCTGAAACATGTAATAAATGAAGGTTTTCTTCTCCCTATGGGGCACAGCGCAGTTGACCATTGGACTGGGGTGGGCAGCGGGTATTATAGGGTTGGGGTGGATAGAAGGACACTCACAGAAAGTAATCAACGAGAAAATCCCCTCCTCCGCCTTAAGCATCAATCTGCGATTACAAAGTACATTGGCTGTGTCAAAGTATTCTCGGTGAGACAAAATAAGATCATTCAAGGACTGTTTAAAAGGCACAGGGGCCGGCCCCATGGCCGAGTGGTTAAGTTCGTGTGCTCCGCTGTAGGCGGCCCAGTGTTTTGTTGGTTCGAATCCTGGGCACGGACTTGGCACTGCTCATGAAACCACGCTGAGGCGGCATCCCACATGCCACAACTAGAAAGGCCCACAACGAAGAATATACAACTATGTACCGGGGGGCTTTGGGGAGAAAAAGAAAAAAAAAATCTTTAAAAAATAAAATAAAATAAAATAAAATGCACAGGGCCTAGAAGAAGGGCACTGGAGGCCTACATCCTTTCAGTACTGGGGAGTACAGTGATAAAATTCATTGGAACAACCTTACAAACTTCTGGATATGGGGACTAACAAAATCCCTGGCTTAACACTTTGACTACTCCCCATGTGAAATTGGATGCCCAGGATAAACATGGTCTTTCCTTGACCAGGGCTATAAAGAAATAAACACAACTCTTAACCCTTTTCTTCCTGGATCCCTGTCCATGTTTTCACAGGACTTGCATTTGTGATGGGCACTGACTGGAAGTCAATGTTAAGACTTTTGGATCTGGAAGAGGTCTTGGAGATAAGCAGCCAAAGTCCCTGGGACTCAGTGTCCTCATCCGTAAATTGAGGAGGTCATCATGACCTGCCCACAGCCATCCGGTGCTGGAATCTGGCTGGCCACATGACTTCTAAATCCAAGCCCAACGCTCCTTCCAACCTAGCAGCTCATCCACTATTTTTTTTTTTTTAAAGATTGGCACCTAGGCTAACAACTGTTGCTAATCTTCCTTTTTTTTTGAGGGGGGGGGTGCTAACAACTGTTGCCAATCTTTTTTTTTTTTTTTTCTGCTTTATTTCCCGAACCCCCCTGGTACATAGTTGTATATCTTAGTTGCAGGTCCTTCTAGTTGTGGGATGTGGGACGCCGCCTCAACGTGGCCTGACGAGCGGTGCCATGTCCGAGCCCAGGATCCCAACCCTGGGCCGCTATATCGGAGCGCGCGAACTTAACCACTCGGCCACGGAGCTGGCCCCCACTATTTCTTTAAATGCCAGTTCTCATGCATGTTGCAAAAAAAGAAAAGGTAGCTGACTGTTTGCCTGGAGGGGCAATGTGGCTAAGAACCCAATCAGTGGTGACCTGCCTTGAAAGGGGAAGGACAGGAAAGGAGGAAGCAATTTTGCTTCCACTTCCTTTGGCCATTTTCTGTTCCATTTGATGCTCCTACACATAATAATAATGACAAGAAAAATAATAGCTAACATTTATAGAGCACAGACTATAGGCCAGGCACTAAGCATTTTATGTGTTAATGAATTTGATCCTCAAACAATCCTTTGAAGGAGGTATGATTGGTATCTCTGTTTCATGGATAAGAAAACTGAAGCACAGAGAGGTTAAGTGACCTGCCCAAGGTCACACAGCTAAAAGTGGCAGAGCCAGGATCCAAATCCACGTAGTCTAGTCCCAGAGCCCAAGGTCTTAAACACATCTCTACTAAAGAGGTGATGAAATGATGATGAGTCTGAATAGACTGTTGAAAACATGAAGTGTGATTTCTTCACGAATTAAAGCTAGATTCTGAAATGAAACAACCACAGGGGCCAGACAGGTAATGAGTGAAATGGAGCAGGGGTGAGGGTCTGTGGTGAGCTGGAGGGGGCAGAGTATCTAAGCTCCAGCTGATTTTTGCCGAGTGGCACTTCTTCGCAAGCACCATTCTCTGCCTCTCACCTGCTCACCTGGCAAAGCCCCCGCCTTACAGCACACCTGCACTGAGCAGCTGAGTGTTGCTGGGGAAAGGAAACACAACTGTCCTGACTGATCTCATTTGAAATCCATGGCTGTGGATTTCAGGGGCCTTCCCACACTCCTCAAGATCTGCTCTCTGCCTCCTCCTCCAGTCTCACTTCTCTCTGCTCTCCTTTCCACTTCCTCTCCTGCTCACGTCACCCTTTGCCCAGGCAGCCTTTAGCTGGTGATCTTGACACAGGCATCATCAAGAAGACCAGATCCACATCCTAAGAGGCTGGTCTTTAGGGTCTCCTTGTCCTCTGGTTTCCTGTTGTGTTTGGCCAGTGGGAGAAGCCAGCAGGAGACTGGAGGGTGAGAAGAGATGAGTTCCTCCCTCCAGGTCATGAAATGGTAGTGACAACAATTCTCTCCTGAAGGACACAGCTCCTACCAGGCAGCCTTTCCCACACTCTGACCTCTCTCTCCAGGTTCTGACAGTCCTCCTGTCCCTTGACTCTGCACATCTAGGGTTGAGAGTGGCTCCCCTCTGCTGCTAGCTCTGGGGTGCTCTGCCATCCCTTGTTGACTTTCCTTAACTCTCTGCCCACAGCTTTATACAGACCCTTCATAAAACCCTCCTCCCTATTCGCATTTAAGTGTGTCATCTGTTTCTTCTCGGGACCCTTACTGATACAGCGCCCAAACTTACATCTCCATCCCTCACCTTTCCCTGGAACTCTAGAATCTTAGATCCAACTGCCTTTATGACATCTCCACGTGTATGTTTAGTAGATGTCTCTGAATTAATATAATCCAAATAGAATTCTTAATTTCCTACCGCATAAACTTTCTCCTCCTCCAGTTTTCCCCATCTCAGTAAGATGGAGCCATCATCCACCCAACTGTATAAGTTCCAAACCTAGGCTCCATTCTAGAGTACTCTTTTTTCCCCTCACTTCTTACATCCACTTCATCAGTGAGTCCCACAGACTCTCTAACATCTTCTGAAGTGGTCTCATTTCTCTCCACCTCCACTTACCGGTCTAGCCCAAGCTATCCTCTACCACCTAAACTCTGCAGCCGTCTCCACGTCTCTCAGCCTCCTTTCCCACTCCACTACCTCCCATTCCCAGGTAGAAAGGCCTTTTAATAATAATCAGACTACATCACTCCCAGCTTAAAACCATCAATGACTGCATTGTATAACATATCCAACCACTCTATAAAGACTTATGGGAACCATCCTTCCTTTTTTCTCCAGCCTCATCTCGCCAGTCCACTCCCCACACACACTTTCTTTCCCTCGGCTCCCTAAACACAAGAAAACTGTTCCCACCATGTCTCCTCTTCCCTTCTGATCTTGGTATGATGGATTCTTTCCTATCGCCTCCATCTCTGCTCAGGTGTCACTCCCTCAGAGTAGCCTTCACTAATACCCAATCTCAATCAGTGACCCAGCTGCATTAATTCTTTGCACCATGAATAAACAAAACTACAACTCTCTCCTCCCTAGAGTGTGAGCCCATGGGAACAGGGACTTCCCGCCGTTGTTCACCACTATTTCCCCAGCACCTCGTATAGAATATTCTAGAAAGTGACTGACCTACAGAGATGAATGAATGAATGAGTGTAAGAATGCTGCTCAGTAATGCTGGATCTGCAGTTTTTCAGGAAAAACCAGTAAGGATTTTTATATAAAGATATGACTTCTTCATCTTGGCAACTAATTTATTTTTTAAAATTGTGACTCACATGAATTATGTCTGTAAGCCAAGGTGAGTCAATGAGGCACCATTTTGTGACTCTTACATTAAAGAATATGTTCCAAGGTTATTTAAAAAGGAAACTATTTAGTGGCAAGAACTAAAGGACAAGTGCCCAAATGCTCATCCCAAAGTGAGCTTTCTAAGACTGGAAATGGATGGTTTCACTCCTCTTTTCCTAAAACACCACATCTGAAACTTGCTACAAGGTAGAATCCATTCACTTCTTTGGTTGTTTTTTGCAGTGGAGGGTGCAAATTCAATACTAGATCATCATAATCTACTTTTCCATTTCTACAAAACTTGTTTAGTTTCATTCAAATCTCAAATGTCCAATCTGTGGTTTTTCTGCAGTCTTCATCTATTTGAAATCCCCTAACTGACAGCATTTGCTCTGACACATCACATACCATGGAAAATTACAGGCTGGTGTGGTAGCTGATTGTGTCAGCATGTATTTGTGAATACCATAAAGCAGTGAAATGAGACATACTGCACTCCCTAATATAGGAGGTAATTTGTTTTTTGGACTGCCTGGTATTTGTGACATTCATTAGTGAGAGATGCAATAGGAAATGGAATTACACAAATGGGAGCTTCATGTTATATTTGCTATCTGAGAGACACATGTGATCTGCGGTGCCGCTGTGTTCCCCAGCCCCCGGACGTGGTGCTCAGATGCTGCTTTCAGCTTTTGTATCTCACAGTCTGGACGTGGGCACAACTTTCTCTTCCAGAGGTTGGGGGGGCTTCAGTCCCATTCACCCTCACTTTCTTCTCTCAGGTGAACACTGTTCTTGGGATACTCCATGAAATGGATAAGGAGGTTTTCCTCTCCCACATCTGAATAATGGCAATCCTTTCCCAATTTGCAGAAGTAAATTTAAGTGATTAGAGAGCTCACTTTTAAGGATTTTTTTTTTTTGCTTCTCCATCCCATTTTTTTTTCCCTAAAAGCTTCTATACCTGGTATGGCTAGTTTGCATAGAGTGAAGAGGAAGAAAATAATAAGCATCAGTTGTCAAATATTATAGCTCTGTGCTCAGCATGCCAGGCTCACCTCTTGGAAAATAATTAAGAACACAAGCTCTGGAACTGAACCTCCTGGTTTTGAAACCAGGCTTTACTGCTCACTCACAGTGTGGCTTTGGGCAAGTTAACCATGAGTGCTTCAGCTTCCTCACATGTAAAACTGGAATAGTAATGCCCCAAGCTCCTAAGGTTGTTGAGAGGGTTAAATGAGGTCAGCAATACCTGGCACCTGCTATTTAGGACAGTGCTGGCACACATTAAACTCTATGCAAAAATTTGCTAGTATTATTAAATTTGGTAGAATGTGTGGATTTTCGAAAAGGAAAGACCAATTCCAATCTGGGCTCTGCCACTTCCTTATCTGCTGCATGGCCTTGCACAATTCATTTATCTCAGTTTTACAGATGAGAAAACCAAAGCCCTGAGTGTTTTAGAAAACTTACCTTACAAGGTTATTTTGAGAAGCAGCAATAAAATATGTCGAACACCTAGCACAGGCCTGGCTTTGAGTAGGAACTCATTAAATGAAAACAATAGGCTTATATAAATAATTACAGACTTTTATAATTTATTTACTATTTATTTAAAATATTTTATGTGATATTATTGTTGAGCTGAGTGACCTGTCTGACCATGTGAGTCACATTTTCTGCTAATTTTTTTTCTAGTTCATAGGATAGAATCAAATATAACAATATTCCATGGTGTTCTGCAAAGAGCTCTGTGATTTCCTAAGCTGCTTAAACAGGTTCAAGGGTACTAATAAAAGTGTCATAAAACATTGAGGCCAGTGAAATCCTGGGCTGTACCTGCAGATACTTAAGAATTGAACCTGACAACTTCAGCCGCTTACCTAGAAGACCACAAATAGAAATATAGCCAGCTTAGTATTTCATCTGAAGTTAATACAAACTCTTTGAGATTCCATTCAGCATTCAAGGTAGAAAATCGATGATTCTCAAGTAAATTTGCATGCATGATATTAAATAAAGAGTATAGACAAGGAGCCAGTTGTCCTATGTTATATTGTTCTGGTCATTAAGAATCAGGATGATTCTCTTTGGGACTCACTTTCCTCATCTGGGAAATGAAGGAGCAGGTAACTAGGCCCTCCTAGTTCTAAAATGCTATTATTCTAAGTCAAAGATGTGGAATTGATTATGTGAAGAGGAGTCCATGGAAGCATTTGAAAGCACACTCTCTTTTTCCTAAGACTAGCACCTTTTGATGCCCATAGACATGTCAAGAAGTTTTGGGGTTAGGGCCTTGTACATAGTGGAAGCATGCCCCAGCTCAGTGAATCAAGATGTCTATAGCTGGGCCAGAAAGAAAGGCAGGTGAAAATAAACTCTTACCTTTTAACTTCTTTGGCATCACTTGCGATGAAAAATCCTAAAGTACCTTCTTGGATCTTAAGATGGTTTCCAGGATTAATTAATATACTGCTCAACGAACAAAAACAAACAAAGAAGACACATTTGTGAGGTCACACTCTGAGTAAAACTTTGAAGGCACACTGTGCTGTTAATTTTATAGGGGGCCCACCATTCTTTCCCCAAAGATTTTTGTCTAGAGCCTGATGTCCACTGTCCCACACGTTTAGTTGAATAATGCCATCATAAAGCTCTACTGCTTAAGTTCCAGGCTGGCATTCTCCCAAATGCAGAAATCAAAGCAAATCTAGGTTTTAAGGCTGGGTTTGTATAATGAGGCTGCCATGATGGGCTTCTGACTTAAAGCAAAGTTCTAATAATGTTTCCCCTTGGAAACTGCTAATGGATGGTCAACATTGAGTGTTATTGGTCTAATAAAGCTACTGCCACACCAATTTCTCATTACATGACAGAGCATTAATGGGACCCCTATATGTATACAGACACATATATGTATACATACCACGTGTTACTGCAGGGAATGGTACAAGACACCTGTGACCAATGCAGAAGCAAACAGAACAGCTGCATGACACTGAGAAGAACATGGAAGTAGATTCCATGTGCAGCCTATGTAGAAAGAATTAGGTCTACCAGAAAAGTGAAAAATGAAAATGTCAGCAGTTGGAAATACCTAATGATTCCAGTCTGCTGTTTACAAAAATGGATGGGAGTGCTTGAATAAGGTGCATGTGTAGTACATCCTGATTGGGGCAAACTCATTAGAAAACAAATGCAAATTACCCCTAAGAAAACTTTCCCTGCAGGGAACTATGAACCTAGAATTACCCTGTCCTATTTCAGAGTGGTAGAAATAGATTAGCTGACAAAGTTGTGTTTGGACTGACAGAAGAGATAAATGTATACTAGTCTAATAAATGGGTGAAATAAACAAGTTTAATTTTATGCAGATCAAAAACAGAATACAGGAATGTTTTACACAGAGACTGAGATGAGGCTCTGGGCTGAATGGACAGGCAAGTTGGGTCACTAAATGCAGCAGTGTATACAACAGAGAGATTCTTTGATCTGAAAAGCTGGTATTTAAGGTAATAAATGTTTGGAATCAGGCTAAAGGAAGTCCTCAACAGTCTAAAACAATCAAAATGGAGGAGGACAATTAACATGTAATCTTTTTCTGCTGGTAAAACCATTCCAGAAACGTGCTGTAGCCAATGCAGTGATGTAGCAACATAGGAAGGACTCAGGTGAACTTTTCTCCTGTTGGGACAACTCAGAGTAGATGATTATCGCAAAATAATTGTCATCATAAGAATATCCACTCTTACCCATAACAAGAGCTAACAGAAGGTGTCCAATCCTGTGTCATCGCTGTTTTTAACGCTAAATAACAGCAAGAGTCCATGAAGATTTGACTGTTCTGCCCGAGAACCACAGGCAACAACGAGAATCCTCACAGATCAGGAAGCAGCAGGCCACACTGACAGCACAGCTTGCAATGGGCAGCAGCATTGTACCGGCACCGACTAATTACCCTGCACCCGCTCTTCGTGCTGGTCTATTAGCGCTCTGACGTTTCAAGATCACGAGAAAAGATTCAGGCCTTATACAGTTTAGATGGATTCTTTTTTCAAAGCCAATTAAATATGCTGTTTTAGAAGGCAGAATTCTGGATTTTACACATTTTCTTACCCTCTTTCCTGCAAGGCAGTTCTTATATGCCCTGGCTCTGTAATTAGAAATTGGCTCCAAATTCCAGCCTTGCTATTTAGTAGCTGTCTGACTTTGGTGGGTTACTAAACCTCCCTAAAACTCAATTTCCTCATCTACAAGTTAGGGATGATGATAATCACGGTCTTTCTTCAGAGAATTAAGGGAGATAATGCCCAGAAGGCTAAATGCATGTTGGTTCCTGTTACTTTTATTATTTATTATTGTAAAAAAAGCCAAAAGTATATTTCATTTCCAACGGAATTTTCAGATTTTCTTTAGCTGGCTCCATGGAACGGAACACAGGACTTCATATCAAAATATCCTGTCTACAATGAGATGAAGTTACAGGGTGAAGAACTGTACAGTCCAGAATATTGTACAAGGACACACAAAAAATTCCAGGTACTTCTGGGGTCTAAAGGAGTTAATTCCTAAAGTAGGAAAAGTCTACTTTCTAATATGTATTCATATAAGAGTATAAAAAAAGCTTCTGAGTGAAAAAAACCCTATCATGATTTCAACAACACAATTCAAAAGGAGAAACTGGACACTCATCAGTGTCTGGGTGATACATATGTGTAAAACAAGCCTCGCACAGAACCATTTCCCATTTGTACATTATGTGCTTCAGCAGCTGCACTCCCATGATCCATCCCACTGTGTCATGGTGCGAATACAATGATGGCAAGGCTCCTATCAATGGAAAGTTTCTTTTCATTTCCTCTGTTCTTTATCAACAGTGAACAAGCAGTGGCCTCCAGTGAGCATTTGGGATTGGCATTCCAGAGACTGCAGGTTGAAAGAATTTATTATAGCCTTCAAGCTTGCTTTAGTCAAGAGGTGGAAAGGAACGATTTGGGGCACAGATGTAAGGCAGATTTTTTTTAAGTCTCAGGTTTTCTGCCAATGTTGGTTAAACAAGCAGGTGCAGTTGTCAGGCCTTACAAGTTCAGGGTCTGGCCCTGGGCATGTGGATGCAGCTAAGCCTCACTCTCCTCGTCTGTAAAACGGGGTGAATAATCACTAGCTTACAGTGTCACTAAGAGAATTAAAGTACATACTATGTGCTGAGTGACTGTCACATAGTAGATCCCTAATACATGGTCACTATTAATGGTAAGAAAGGTGATTACAGCAACTAAATGAGAAGTAAATAATCTCTCACAGCATCATAGCTCTCCATTTTGTTCTTGGGTGCTAATAAACTACCCAGGAGGTACCCATTGTCAGTGAAAGACCTTTTTACTGACTGCAGTATCCAAAACATCTTATTGCTGCATAACATCTGGAGATGGGGTAATTTGGACCGGCTTTTGGCTGCACAGTGGAGTGTCTCTGTTCCTTAAACCTTATGGCTGATTGTGTAAGGCACCAAAGAACCTCCAAACGACATGACTGACCAAGCTACTCCAGGATGCCCTCTTGTTCTCTATGACGGGGTGAGAGGGTTTAAGTCATCTCTGCATGAGGTCTGAGGCTGTATCATTCACAGCTATCTGGATTAGGCTAAGGCAGACTTCTGGGTGGAAATCAAAAGGATGAGCCCAGCTCTTGAGAATAACGAAGGAGAGAAGTCTAGATACACAAAGATGCCCATTGTGCTGGATTCCACTCATATATTTAAGGGTTTGGCAAAGAACCATGTGTCCCTGATTCCAGGGGACCACTACTATAGTACTCCCTGTGTAAAGGTACAAAGTTTCAAAGACTTTGGGGAAATATATTAGCCTTTTCAATATTTTAGACATTAAGTCTTCTATGCACATTCCAAATCTATAAAGTTTAAATAAAGTTTAATCTTTCTCTTTCAAAAATATAAAAAGATAAGGATCCTAGACGGAAGTAACTTTTTTTCCCGGCAAAGTGCCTACTACTCTTAGAATTTGTTATTGACCTTCTAATGGGAATACACAAATCTTTCCAAAGATCTTTGATCTCCTAAAAGAATATCCAACGTCAAGTTTGTTTTGTTCTTATGACTGCCAAAGGTCTCCCTCCCTGTGCATCACTTGAAATTAATCTCTGGCTCCAACTTTGTCTAATTCACTAGTTTATCAGAGATAAACTTTGAGATGTGTCATGTGGAGAATCAAGAAAATCTCTAAGAAAAATACCCACAGATCAATTAGCAGAATTCCATTAGGGACATCTTGGCAAGGGCAAGCTTTCTCTCATTTCAAGGAACCTATAAATGATCCCCATTCTTGTATGACCTTGTTCATTTCCAGTGAAAACATTCAGTGGCAGCTGGAGGCGAAAGGCTGGTGTGGTCTCTTCCCCAAGGATTCTTGTTCTCTCTTTTTCTTTTGCTCTTAGGCTGGTTTTACAGATTTTATTTTTTTTCTTTTTCTCCCCAAAGCCCCCCAGTACATAGTTGTATATTCTTCATTGTGGGTCCTTCTAGTTGTGGCATGTGGGACACTGCCTCAGTGTGGTTTGATGAGCAGTGCCATGTCCGCACCCAGGTTTCGAAGCAACGAAACACTGAGCTGCCTGCAGCGGAGCGCGTGAACTTAACCACTCGGCCACGGGGCCAGCCCCCTTTAGGCTGGTTTTGAATCTAGACTTAGTCTCTGATTCCTCACCCACTGTATGGAGCAAATACATATTTTGTGTAAGGAACTCACAGTTGGGTAAAGGAGTGAAAGGTCTGATCATGTTTTATTTACTTTTGTAAATATGTTTCTCTTAGTATCAAGCTTTGAGCCCTGCATGCAATAGGCACTTTTCAACTGTTTACTGAATGAACGAAAAACATAAATCATTGGCCTCAGTTCCAAAAGCGTTCCTTTCCCTCTCTAGTAAGACCAAGCTACAATCTCATCGCTCATGCCAACCAAAGGAGGGATCACACTTCTTCTAGGAGGTGGGCAGATGAGCTAACAATCTCCTAGATGCAGAAAGTATAAATATGTAAATATAGAAACAGTTGGTAATTCAACTGAAACATATTTTTTAAAGGAAACTTTTATCCATTATGGATAAATATGACAGGTGTGTATTTCTCTCCTCCCCATTCCATTTTTGGTAGGTGTAATGTACCATTCCCCAAGCAAGTGCTAAAATATCACTCACGTGAGAATATAGTTTGTACTTGATACATGGTAATCATATGTGTCTAGCAAGCTAATGGGACTTCATTAACAAGAGCAAGAGAATTAGAACCATCAAGGCCTTCAGTTCATGCTGTGCCCAGATGAATCACGCCCCTGGGAAGTTGCCTCTCTGACCATACAAGGTCATAGACAATTGCTATTGGGTGGGGCTTTGAACCAATTGTTTCGCCTCTCAGGGAGCACAACTGCCCTCTGGTTGTGGGCTGTGTTAGGACACAGCCTACAGAAACCCCAAATCTCAAATCTTATTGCCTTTTTGGAACTTTTCATTTCTTCTGGGCCTTAAAATACATGCTGCTAGAGTCCCACACAACTAGACACACACACTTTTACTAATAAAATATATTTAGGAGACACAGTTGTGTATTCCATGCTTCAGTATACTTAAGCCCAGTTCACTTACACAGAGACAGCTTAATAAAGATTGCTCCCAGTTGGTCAGACTTGAATGACCACCACTGCGGTCTGCCAATGATACGGGCAAAGACTTGCTTAGCCTAAATCAATCTCAATAATTTTAGAAATGGTATTTTAAAATATACTTTGCACATAAGGAAAAAAAGCAGCCATATGAGATGGGGAAGAGGTAGTTCCTTTGGGAAGGACAATGCTGGATATTTGGTTCTGGGAGCAAGCCATGTCACTTTCTGGTACACTTTAGGACAAGTCATGCCTACATCACAACATGCCTTCACCACAAGATAAAAAGACTCAAAGGCCAAAAGCCAACAGTAGAGGTGCAACCACTGTGGACCTCTGAAGATGCAAAGTGTTGCAGTAACTTCTCGCAGTTGGATCATATCAATAATACCAAACTGACAGGAAGCCACCTCTATTTTCACACATCTACTCAAAAAATCATATAAGAATCTGACTTTGGAAAGAATTTCAGATACACACACGCACACACACGCACACACACAAGTACAAACATAAATATGACAGTGATGACAACTATGAAGAAAAACAACTCTTGAGAAGATGAACTAGTAGGCATCTCAATGGTATGTTTTCAACAATACTGTCTTAGAGAACACATTATTGAAAAACTACAGTAAAAATGTTAACCCCCAAATTAAAAAAAACAGTCAATGAAGATTTAGTCATGCTTCATGCAACATAAAACAGCAGCAAAACAGGGTGAGGTCACATGGTGAAAGTTGAGATGCTTCATATTAAGAAATATGCCCAAACACATTAGGAAAAAGATAAAGCCATGAGTTCATCTCAATAAACAGTACTCATTTAGTAAATCAAAAGTGATAATCTAGCAATTTAGTAGCAGTATTCTAAGTCTGTACTGAGTACTGCCTGAGAAATAAAAAATACAAAATATTATCATCAAAATAAGTGTAAGGAAAGAGAGTTAAGTGTAAGGGCTTGGTCTCTGTTTTGTGGATAAAAGAACACAAATTCTGCTCTACAAATTCGAACTAGACACAGGGAGGAGGAGGTCACTGGGAATGTGGATGTGGTATGCAGACAAATGGCACCACAGAGTCTGGCGGACACCAAGACACATCAGGACAGGACAGAAACAGACACCAAGGGCTGGAGAGACACACCCTCCTTTTCAACTTTAATAACATTTGTTCCCATCATTGGTGCCAGGACTGAAAACGGGATCGTGCCTTTCATTTTTTTTAGATTTCCTGCAAAGAAGTTAGTGCGTCATCCAAAAGAATCAACAAATCCAACAAGAAAAGCAATATGCTACTTTCAATTTTTATGTACTCTAGTTGGAGAGGTGTTTATATAAAAATATACATATATATAAAAATATATATATATACTAGACAAGGGAATGAGATTATATATACATATACACATATATATAATCTCTATCTTCCTGAATTCTTGGCAAATGGTTAGTCCTGTGGTTAGAAGTGAAGACAGAGGGTGAACAGTGGAAGGAAAGTTAACGAAGAGTGCATACCGCTTTCGGCTTCTGCAAAACGACAAGAAAAGAGTTTAAAATCAAACAACTTGATAATAAATTGACTGACACCAGAAGGAAAGAAGGAATAAAACCTTTGTTTCGAATTATTTGAAGGATGTATGTGAAAACAAGGTTTTTCAGCAAAGCATGGAAACAGTATCATGGGGTGAAACAACCACAAAGGAGGTAGTTAAACACAGGTTGGAGGCAGGGGCGGGCAGGAGAAGCGGGGTTGTCTGAATTTTAACATCCGGTCACTGAGAAAATGTGAGAGGAAAAAAAATGCGAAATCTTTAAATGAAGAAAAAACTCAAAATTATTATCTCAGGAAGGGTCAAATCTTGATCCATCTTAACATGGATACTGTGTTTGAGAAGTCCTGTGTTTTCTCAAAGACATGCTCCACATTCCCTCAAACACACCTTTTTCCACAAGAACCAACGTGCTTCCACACTGAGACCAAGCCACTTTTGAGGATTAAAGCTAGTAACCGCACACAGAAAGCCAAAACAAAGCCAAACAAGTTCTTTCTGCCCTTTTCTGAAAAAAAAAAAAAGAAAATCTAAAAAACTATCAACAAAGCTTTGTTGAAAACATCAGACTTGTGAATTAACTGGAGGGCCCATCAAAGAAAAGACTTTGTCTTCAGGGAGAGCTCTGAGTTATTTTCTTAAACTGGTGACAGCAGATTCACACTGAATCATTAACAGCCTTTCACCCTCCCTCCTTGTGACCAAATGGTGGCAGGTGGGAGATGACTGGTCAAGGTTCAGGGTGCAGTCTTCTGCCATGAAATTATTCTGGAATGGCCGAGAAACACTACTCAGCATCAGCATCACCCACATCATCACACTTTTTTGAGAGATGCACAAAAGTGATGAAGAGAGAACGCTGAATTACACAAAGATTTACTAACTTGGCAACATGAAGAATATCGTTTGCAAAAACCCAGGATACACATTTTCCCCAAGACAGGTACAAGTCAGTATTGGCAACAACATGGGCAAGCAGCAATCCCAGAGACATCCACCTTATCTGTTGAACAGCAAATATCCAGGGCTCTAAGGTTTTGCAAATAATGTTCTTCATTTTGCCAACAAAGAAAAGAAGAATGTATATCTGTATACATATTTGTTAACTGCTATGGCCATGTTCTACATGTGGCCACCAAATCTACCATTTTTTTTTTGAGGAAGTTTAGCCCTGAGCTAACTGCTGCCAATCCTCCTCTTTTTGCTGAGGAAGACCGGCCCTGAGCTAACATCCATGCCCATCTTCCTCTACTTTATACGTGGGACGCCTACCACAGCATGGCTTGCCAAGCAGTGCCATGTCCACACCCTGGATCCGAACTAGCGGACCCCGGGCTGCTGAAGCGGAACGTGTGAACTTAACCGCTGCACCACCGGGCTGGCCCCCCATTTTTTCTTTGTGCTGGTTGATTTGGATTTTCAAAATAGCTTAACATTTGATCAGATTGACTTTGTGAGCAATCTGATCTGGAGATTAAGGTAACAGAGAACATTCGATCGACTTGCTTACAGTCCAGTGTTTTTGTCATAGAGACACAGACTGCACATTTGGAAGGCTGGCTTTATTAAGTCATTCATCCAGATAATGAAAACTCCTTAAATGACGATAGTAGGAAACTTCTAGTCTTGCCCTGCACTCTGCTGAGTTATTGAGGCCTATGTTGGAGTGCATCTGTACTCCACACTTGGGCATGTACAGGATGACTAATTTTCTATAGGTGGGAGCAAACCATGAATGTCATTTCAGAGGACAAAAGCCCGGGCATCTCTCAATGAGCTCTCTTTCCCCCAAAACTATTGCTAAGAAGTGGGAAGCAAAAACCATCTGTATTTCATCTGTAATGCGTACAGTACTCCATCAACAAAACTCCTTGTTTATGTGAGGCTTCCTTCTTCCAGCATGAACTCATATATTGACTGGGGTGTTATCTATTCCAACCAGACCCAGGTCCTCATCAGTGTGATTTGCACATAATTAAGTGCAAAATAAATAAATAAAGAGGGCTCCTGCCTCTGAGCCCTGCTCTCCTGGCTAATTTACATGAGGCTGATATTACGCCACCTGGATTTCAGTAGCACCGGGAGAAGCACATATGGTACACAACAGGCTGCTTGTAATTTGGCTATCAAGAGAGCTGGTATCTACCATCACAACCCTACCCCATGCTTGCTGTGAAGGAGACCAGAGTCCACCTGCTTTTTGCTCACAGCAGTAAAAAAAATGGGTTTAGGACAGGGTCTGTCCCCTTGTTTCATGCTGAGGGGTGAAAAGTACAAGTTGACATGATTGGGTGGAGACTGAGATGCCTCATCGCTTTCCCCTGGAGAAACTCTCTGTGAATGCCCAGTGGGCTTGGGACGCCAGGCAGCTCTGAGATAGAAGCGGCAGTGTTTAGTTGAGCATGCCTTGAAATGTGCCCTAGGGTCAGAGAGGTATTGCATCAGGGTTACAAGCAAAGAAATAATGTGTAAAAAAGGAGAAGTGGACTGAGCGTTCTGTGCGCATTCTCACCATCATAATGTCAGCTGGCTGCTGGGTCATGCCAAACTTACCGGCTCTCTCGATTGGCGGACTTGTACTCAATGGCTATCATTAGGAGCTTGAGCTTCACAAAACACAGCCTGCAATGAAATGGAGAAACCTCCTAGTCAGTGCTTCTGAACAACCAGAGCCACATAACAAACACTGTTGCAACCTTTCCATCTCCTAATGCAGTCATTATGCAAGAGACCCTCATTCCACAGTCACTGTGCCAAAGGTAGGGGGGTGGGAGCGACACCTCCCCATCTTCCCCATTAAACCTGATTTCTTGCAAGTGATAAGGCGCTGAATGTTCCAAGTGCAAATTGCGCTCAGGTCTGGATGTCTAGACACAGACCCCAAGCAGGGATTTATGCCTGGGGATTCATGCCTGGCCAGATTCATTAGCTACTTAGTTGGGTAGTAAAATGTTAACTGCAGGGGGAGGGAGGTATTTGGAGCAGCTGGACCTGTTATTTGGATTCCATTTTGTCTTTTGTGCAAATAGCTCATATTGTTGTTCCAAGCAGACCCCTGTGCGCTCGGAATGATGGTAATAATCTTTAGCCTCCGTGTAACTGCCCAGCACATGTCTGCAGCACTGTCACTCCTGGCTTCATCCAAGCTGTCTTACCTCATCTGCCCAGTGCTCATGCCCGCAGCCCAGACAGCTTTGAGGCTAGCTCATTCCTGCCTCCAGGCCTTCACTGATGCTGTTCCTACCCCCCGGGAATGTCTTCTCCTTGCCTCTCCACCCCACCCATCCTTCCAGGCCCATGTCAAATCTAGCCTTCTGTGTAGGTCTTCTCCAGCTGCTGCCAGCCTCTGATTTTCTATTCTCAGAACTCCTCCAGCACCTTCTCTGCAGCCACATCATTTAGCCCTTCGTCAATTTTATACTGACTGTGGCTACTCCTGATGTTTCATGTGTAGGAACTTTCTCTCCTCAACCAGCATAACTTCTTTAAGAGTTTGGGGCTTGTTTAAAATTCCCCATAGTGCCATATATGGAACCACTGATATAGAGAAGCTCAACAAATGAATGATTTCGACTTAGCGGGGTTCAATTCTTAGAAAATAATAAAAGGTCCAGTAAAATATTTATACACAAAGATGTTCAAGGTAGTAATATTTATACAGAGTAAAAAAAATTGAAAGCAACCTAAATGTCCAATAATGAGGCAATGGTTAAGTAAAGTATGGTACAATATAGTAATAGCATTCAAAATAACTTTCTGAAGAATATTTCAAGGTAAAAGGTCAACAAATAATATTATATGGATATGAACATGTGAATAACATGATACAATTTGATGAAAATATATATTTATATGCTCATAGAAATAAAAGCTCACACCAACAAAAAAAGAATTATATATTATATTACAAGTTTCTACTATGAGCATTATCACTTATGTTTTATGGACATTTTGGATAATAAAACATTAGTTGACTGCTAGATTAAGAAATGAGCTGATGGTTATTTAGTTCCAGCATTCTAAGGGGGAGGAGAGGCTGGGGCACAGGTCAGGGCCTTTCTTGGTGGTCTCAATCCCCGTGATATCCCAAAGAGGGAGATATTACCCTCGTTATTCACACTTCTATTTATATCTCTATTTTACGGGTAATGAAACTAAGGCTCAGAAAGCCCATGTAACTTGTCCAAGGTCTCCAGCTAGTGCCTGGCAAGATATACAACATCTTCATCCTCAGTGAAGCCTATTTTGTCTCGGGAGAGATAGGCAATAGGCAAATATATAAGTGAATAAGGAATAAATTTCCAGATGAGGACAAGTACTATGCAGAAAATAAAACAACCTAACAGGATAAAGAGGAACTTGGAAGGTATGTTATTTGCAATGGTCCAGGAGGATCATTTTGAGGAAGTGACCCTAGAGCACAGAGCACAGGAGCATGAGGAGAAGAGGCAGGCAATGAAAGGATCCAGAGAAAGAGCTTTCTGGGGAGTGGAAACAGCGAGTGCATGGGCCCTGAGGCAGGAAGAAACTCAGGGTTTTTGAGGATCAGCAATAAAGACAGAGAGACTCCAGCTGATTGAGAAAAGTCTAGAGTGATAGGTCTAGGGGCTAGGCAGGAGCAAGATCATGAAGCCTTTGCTGACCACGGCAAGGAGTCTGCAGCTTATTCTAAGTGGAATGGGAGGCTTTGTGTCAGTTTTAAATTGAAAAGCAACATAATCAGATGTGTTGGCCTTGTGGATGTGTCGCTTGCAGGTAAGGTACTGGTGAAGGCCCCATGCTCTCCACTAATAAGAGCAACTGCTCATTCTTTCATGTGAAGTCACGGTCCCCGATATTGCTCTGAACAGACAGTCAGATTTCAAAGGACCACTTTCATCCAGGCATATTTGGGCCCTCCCAGTGATTTGCAGGTTTTCTGATTCCTGTCAGACTCTAATGACCTGGGCTTTGTGCTGATCATTCAGTTGGCTTAAGCACCAAGCCATGTATCCAACTACAGCTGGGAAAATGTTCTTCTTAATTTGTCCCATAGAGCACCGTCAACATGCACCATTGACGGGGCTGTTACTTCTGGAGCTTAAGTTGTTTTAAGTATCAGATGGCTTATGCAGTATTTGTTGAACCAAATTACCAGATTAAGTAATCACTTTCTAATGTAAATAGCACCTAAATGCCAAAAACTCAAAGAAAAGACTGGTCTTAACTTAGCATGGATTATGAAGAGGCCACTCAGCTGTTATTCTATGAGCAATGGCCACGCCAGTTTGGGAGTCTGGCAGTTCATGGGATCAAGGATCTTAATTGCTGTAATGACCTGATCCTACTGGTGAGAAGGGAAGAAACAATTCATAGTAATGGTGAAGTATGTCTTCCTAGCTACTATGATACCATTTACCAACTAGATTTAAAAGAAAGGAGCTTTCTAATGCAGAAAAGTCAATAAAATCTATGTGGCCTTGTGCACATTCCTTAATCTAGCAAGGAGTGGGCCAGCAGATCTCTGAGTCCTCTTTCACAACTTTCGAATACATATCTTGGATGATTCTATATTGCCTTATGGAAGTCTCTTTTTAAGAAGCCCTCTGGCCCAAAACAAACCTTTGCTCACTAGCCGAAGACGCAAAGAGGAAAGGGACAGAGTGATATAAACCAGGTGATCATATGCAAATAGTGCCACAGCTGCAGATTTTCAGACTCAGGCTCCCAAAGTTGGCTGGGCCTGTGCTTCTTATACAGATGACCAACTGAGGTCAAAAGAGGGGAAAGTGACTTGCCCAAAGTCAAATGGCCTTTACGTAGAAAAACAAAAGTGGAAATCAAGCAACTTGTTCAAGGCTAAACAACTTTTATGTAGAAATGTCAAAGTAGAAATCAAGTCTCAGTGCAGTGTGCTACACAGACGCTTCTCATCAAAGCAGAGGAAATGAAGTGGGGGCCAGAAGCCCAACAAGCAGACTTGCTCTATTTGCTCAGTGCAGCGTTTTTAAAAAACTGGAATTAGATACCAACAGGTGATTTCATATAAAAATTAGCTTTTCAGCTTTCCTTGATAAATCAGATATGGCCACCCTGGAGCCACATTTTGTATGGCTAAAAGGGACCAGAGCTTCGAAGCACTTAACCCTCTGAATGGGACATGTGCTCTCCAATGAGCCACAGTCCCCCCCGCTCCCTGTGTCTCAGATCTCCTCTCTCTTCCACTCTTTGTTGCTAATGGCCTGCCCCCTACAGGCATCTAAGCTTTTAATCTCTGCTGTAATGAGTATCATAGTCTGGAAGTTTGCAAAATACAAATCTTGAGTAAGTTACAATTTACATTGGAAACACAACTATGTCTCCCCCTGTTAAAATGACAGTTTTTTGTTAGATTCTGCCACAAAGAGTTGCCAACGTCAGGGTCCTGGGCTTAAGGCTGCAGCAGAGGTGCAGCCTCTGTTGAGGTGCCAGTGGAGAAGAGCAGATCAAGGCAAGTAAACAGGAGACTGGGTGTTGGATTTGTGGTCATCACTTGTTTACTCATCTCTCTGCCCTCAAGACTGAGCTTCTTCAGTGCAAGACATGGCTTTGTCTCCCTGGTATTTTGCAAAGAGCAGAGAGTAAGCTTTGACTAAATGCTGATTAAATACATGTATGAAAGACTGGGGAGCAGAACGTCATGAGTTGCTGGAATGACACAGAGGAGATAAAGTGGTAAACTAGGAAAGGCTAGTTTAGGCAGAGAAGGCTTGGAAGTGGGTACAGAATCCTGAAACAAGATGCTTCTTAACTTGTCTTGCTCCTTAGAAGCAGACAGATTGGAAAAGAAGGCCGTAGAAGGAAGTAACAGTGACATGCTCTGGGGATCTAATTTTTGCCTTCAATCCACTATGCCATGATGTAAGTACAATTCTAAAATATAGACAGCAATTTCTCCTTGGGACTGTCTACAGATCCTGTTCCAAGGGGTTCATTCTCAGGAATGGGCCTTCAGGCTACCTAGAACTGATGTCCTGAGATTACATATTTACTTGCATTATTCAATATCATTTTTTTGGTGAAGCAAAATGGGCTTTGCTCAACCAAGCTCTATAGTCATTCTATGGCTTTACTCAGTCTATGGTGTTTTAACACATACAGGACTAGGGTAGGTGAGAAAAAAGGCTTAGGGTGAGGTAGGGTATTAGAAAGAAGCAAGAAAGCTTTCACAATGTGATAAACAGGAAGAAATTAGCCTTAAGATAGCCAGAATTTATCTCTTGGTTTCTAAAATAAAATGTCTCAATATGTCCAATGCAGAAAGTTGTCACCGGTTGCAAAAATAATTACAGGGGAATAGAAATGCCTTCTTTAAAAAAAAAAAATGCCACGTCACAAAATGGTCTTAAACCAGCAATCTGCAATAAAACTGTTGTAATAAAAAGTTAGATTGCTTTCTTGATAATTATTAAGTAGAGGTCTACCAAATTTGACAACGACATTATACAAAGCCTTCTTTTTTTTACTGCCAACATCATCTGTTAACTACAGTAGTTTCAACCCAGATGTTCCTGAACAAAGGCTCTTAAGAATTAGAGTCCAACTGTTTCTACCTACCCGGAGGGAAATAAAATGTTCTTGCCATTAAATCAGTCCCCTTGACTAGAAAGATTGCTTGCTAGTGTGAATTAAGCATAGAAACTTGCGGTAAGGATTGCACCTTCTAATGTGCTCAGGAAGAGTACGCAAAGACGTGGTTTGGGGCTGCTGAAGATGGCTCCCCCAGGAGCGAGCTGGGCGAGGACAAAAGAGGCAGCTCTCACTGTGCCCTCCAAACCCAATTCCACCCAGAAGCACAGGCTCCTCTTCAGTTATCCAGAGGGACCCTGGGAATGTCAGGCTGACACATGCAATCAGAGTAGATGCAGATGGAAATCCTGGACATTGGGAACCCAGATCTTTAGGATCTAGGGGCTAGAATGAAAAAGACTTACATATAAAAGCTTTGATTTAAATGATAGGCTCTTGAAATGGAAACATCTAGCTAAAGAAAATTTGAAACAGTGTGATTTGTAAAACTCAGAACCAAGAAAACAGAAGTGATTTAAAATGATGTTTAGACTCCATTTCCAAATGACTTTGATAGAGGTGGAATGGGAAGCTTTGGAACACCCCCACCCTCAAACACACACACACACACATACACACACTCACCTTATCTCCACTAGCACACCTATGACACTTGAATTTAAAAATAATTACATTCTTTGATACAGACAATTAGAATTTTCCTAAAATGTGAATAAATGCATTTTTAGAAGGCTTTGCTATTATTATTAATCAGAAACATAACATGTAAACTGTGTGTTTGTTATGCATACCCAGCATCAAGTCAAGCCCCTAGCATTCATCCCATTTCCAATTGGACTGCATCCCTGACCCCTCCTGTAGAGACTTCTAGACCTGCCATTGCCTCTGTAGCCTTTGATAAAGGGTTTTAATGGATTAAAGGTGATAATAGATTTTGGTTTGTTCACTAGCATGTAGAAGGGTAATTGGTCCTTTTCTGGGTCCCTGCAGCAGAAATAATCATACATACTGTATTACTGTTTTCCTATATGCTCAGCCCTATGTATAAGACCACCAAAATAATTGGATGAATAGGGCTAGTTTTTTGAGGAAAAATATTTTTTAAATATGAGACTTGAGCCTTTCCACAAATTCTCATAAAATGCTCATTTCTGCAGCCTGGCTAAATAAATCGATCATATAATATTCGGGTCTGCCAGTTTCTTTATGCTCCATGTTCAAATTCAAATGTCTTTCTCTAAAAACTAATGATTTCACAGAACTCAAGTTAAACTAGCTGTAGCTTTCATTGGGCAGGAGACCCAGCTTTCTCTAGGTAGCTAGTCTTAAGTTTTGCTTTCTCAAGTGGCTTCACTAGAAAGATCTGTCCATGAAAACAACAAAGGATGAGAGCATGATTTTCTGAATGTTTAGGGGCCCTGAATGCAGGTGGATGAGAGGATAGAGAACCGCCCTCCACCAGGCCCCACACTCTTAAGCCAGCACAAGAGCATCCACACTTCCATCTGGGCTTGAGGGCAGAATTCCTGCCCTTTAGCACAGCAAAGATCTGATCAGAGTTCCCCAAGTTACCCAGGCATTAAATACTCCACATCAAATCTGAATTTTAACTGCTCCATCATCTGCAGGGGACAAAGAGGGACACCTTATTTTAAATACATCCTTTGTCCTAATCCCCTCTGAGCTGTAAAACCTGATACAGTTAAGATTTTCTATTTTGCAGGTGATGACTGACTGGCTAATGTGCTCACTGTGAGATTCAGAACCTGGAACATAGTGTTCTTGCTCTTGGAGTAGCCCAACCTCTGAACCTGTGGTTTCCTTCAGTTCCTCCTTCCCTCCCTCCCTCCCTCCTCTCCCCTCTGCCTTCACTTTCTTACCTTGAGGCAGCGGGGTGCATCCTCACCTTTTCTAGCTCTCATCATAAAAACACTATCGCTGTTTCCCCCTGAAAACATCACATGTCAAAAGAAATCTGATTTTTCTTCTTCTCTCATCTAAAGGGGAAACCAATTGGCTGTTATTGGAAAATCTCAAAGAGACATGGGTGTTAAGATGGTTCTGTTTGGTACTGTGTACTCCCAGCCTCCTGATTCCCTACCACTTAGAATTCCCTTTTCCGTCTTTAGTTCCTCTCTGAATCCAACTGCCTTACAAGGCACAGCTCAAATGTCATTTCTTCCAAGAACCCTCTCCTGGTCACCTCCAGCCTACAGGGAGCTCTCTCTCCCTGTAACTCTTAGCATCCGTCCTCCAGTTGCATATATTCATCAAACACTTATCAATGGGTGTTTAGCTCTCCCTGAGGATGGGTATTATGTTCCTTGGCCAGACTGCAAACTCTCAGAAGGCAGCTGCTGTAGGGAAACAGATCCTTTACCTGGCATTCACAAGTACTGGTATTAATCTTTTAATGTGCATATATTTGACCAAATCTAATTGCAGGTTCCTCTAGGGATGGCACCATGCCTGGCATACTGGCACACATATACCAAGTTCATTAAATATCTAATTGATTGGCTGGCTGGTAACTGATGGCAGAATTTTCTAAAAGGTAAGAGTAAATATAACCTGGAATGCCACAATGTATTTCTTTCTTTCTCAATGCTTACATTATATTCCATGGGACAAGATAGAGAGGGGGTGGGAGGAAGAGAGGTAGGAGAGTGGAAAAGGATATTAACTACTACTGAGAGATAAGTAACATCATTCTTGTTTCAGAAATGAGGAAACTGGGGGGCAGCTGGTACCTAGCAAAGGAAGGAGGTATGCGGAAATCAAATACCTTGTCCCAAATCACATATCCAGCAAGTGGCTGATCTAGGGGTTTGACCCCAGGCCTTTGTGACTCCATAGTTCATACTCCATGACATCACACAGCATCTTATTATTGGAACTGCTCATAGTGTCAAACATGGCCTCATACCCCAGCCCCTCACTTCTGCCAGGGGTGAGCTAGCCATCTGCACCCTCCACAGTTGCCTGCTGAGGAAGGAAAGGAGTGGGAGGAAAAAGGAAGCAGGTAGTTTTCTGGTGTTCAGAGAACAACGGGTGGCACTCTCTCCTTCATATCCCAAAGCTCCTTGCCTTGATCTTACAGCCACACAGACCCAGGGGTAAGCCAGCCATGCAAAACCCAGGGGAGATGCTCAGGAGTTGCTGGAGCTTAAAGGGGCATCCTGGGGAAGGTCCAGAACATGTCTACCATGATCTCCAACAAGGCCAAGAGGCATCTTTGAGGGTTGCATCCTGAACTGCCCTTGTTTCCTCTGTACTTCTTTGCATTTTAGCACTTATCAGTTCTCCCACCCTTAAAGTGCTGTTACTATCCTTAGTGAAAACCTGGTGGAGAGCATTAAGGGGCTCAGTGCCCCCAGATCCTTTCTCTATATTGAATTGGATGAGGTCTGGGGAGTAGGGAGAGCAGTCAGAGGTTTACTTGGCATGGTAGAGTGCAGATTTATTCCTGGAGATTGTAGAATAGCCTAAGTGAAGAAGGAATGATGGCAAGCAAGCTCACACAAAGGCTCCAATCCCAAAAACATTAGCTTGCAAGATGTGGCCCACCTACGATTCTATGACTTGGCTACAATCAAAGAAAAACATTCCAGTCACTGAGCCCAAAGTGGGGAATAAGAAGAGGTTATTCCAGCCTGTGGTGTGGAGAGATGGAGTCAGTTGGGGCTCCCAGTCATCAGACTTTGAATCAGAATCACCCGACTTGCATGTAAAAGATTCAGATTTTTTAGAACTTATCCCATACGTTAAAATCTGGAAATGGTGCCTAGAAACCTCTCCACTTAATAAGCTCCCTAGGAGTTTCTTAATTAGCTAGCCTCATCTAGCAGCTACTCCAAGCTGCTCCCAATTGCAAGAGGCCCCAGCATCGAAATCCTGGTTCTATAACTTGTCGGCTAGGTGGCTTTGGAAGGGGCACCAACGTCCTCTGAGTCACAGCGTCCTCATTTATAAACAGAGACAGTGATATTAATATAAACCTCACAGGATTGTTGTGAGGATTAAATGAGAAAACATAAATGAAATATTTAGAAATGATATTGCATTTTGCCTAAATTAGTTACTGTTTTTGGAACAAAGCTGCATCTTCTAGTGATATACATGGTGAAGCCAAAAGGCTGGTGCAGAGAAGTCAAAATGTATAACTGGCATGAGTCTCACCTGGACAGGAGAGCATCTCTCTGCTTGAAATTTTTAAAAAGCTTGCCTCAGGGTGTCTTCGGCCCCTCTTGCCTCTCTTCCTCCCCCATTCTGTTCTCTTTGGAAACAACTTCAAATTTCACCCCTTTCTCCTTCCCCTTTATCTTTTCATAGAATGACTCTCCCAGCTTCTGAGAAAACGCCAAGCTCTCCTGTGTGATGACTCCACTCTTCAAGGGGGCTCTGCCAGCTCAGGGCAAGAGCAAATTTATTTCTTTTCATGCTTTAAGATGTTATTGGCTGCATATTGTTTTAATGCAGCACGTAATTACAGAAACTGCTCTGAAAATCTGTATATTTTATCTGTGCTTTATTATACCCAGAATAATCCCCAATTCTTTTTCTTCTACATGAACCAGCTTAAAATATATTTTGGCGTCCTTTATGTCATCTTGAAATTGAATAGCCAATTCTTACTGTAATGAAAATACTTCTGCACCAGCCTGGTGATATACAACACTACACTCTAATTACGGCTGTGCTTTAATTAACCTGAATTGAAGAGTGTTATCATTAAACTGCTGGTAACTTTGAGTTATGGCTTTTCTTTAATTTAAAGTAGAAAGCACAGATAATTAAGCCTCCAGATAATCAAATGCTTGAGGAGAGCTTCAATGTTTTGGGAGGTTCCTAAATCTCATTAAATGTCCTTTCTTTATTGATTATTTCTACCTCTGCTGTATCATTGTGTTAAACGAATAATAGCACTAAGTTGAACACATTCTCACTCACATCAGAAGTTTCTTTGTATTGCAGACGCTGTACTGAACAAATACTAAATTCTCTGACAAGAAGGTGTGTCTGAGGCGTTTTCTCCTCCTTGGCGACTGTTCTAAACTTGGAAATCTATCAAGGGAAATGTTTTCAGCAGCCACTAGTGTCCAGCACTAGCTCCAAAGGCTCCAAAGGACAGTGAAGTTTCACACCACACAGTGGGTCAGAGTTGGCAAACTGACAGGTCTACAGGGCCAGGCCTGGGATGTAAATGCAAATTTGGTCTGGTTTAAGACATCAGGGAGGGGAAGGCCTACACTAAACCCTTTCTTACAGCAGACTGGAGCCAGTGAGCATTTGGCAGAAATGCAACTCCTGTGTTGGCTCATCAGATTTTCAAGAGAGGCCAGAAATCCAGTTTTTATGTGAAATACAACTCTTTTGAAATATTGGCAACTAACTTTTAGGAAATTAAATACTGTATAGGGCAAAAACATGAGTCAAATTTACCCTGTAGGTATCACAGTTGCAGCCCCTAGGGGTAGCAGTCCTAATCCTCTAGGTTAACACTCTTAAGCTTGGTTCCAAGGAGCAGAGTAAGAGAAGCAGTGGGAAAGTCCCGAGGGAAAACTTATGTTAGACATAAACACTGGTCAAGCCAGGGAAAATCAACAGCCAAGGAAGGGGGCTTTGCACGCTCCCCTGCTAATGCCCCCAATGCCAGAGGACATCTCCAGGCCCCGGCAGCTCTGCTGTGTGCTCAGACTATCCCTGCCTTAGCTATAGGGGGCCTCGATTGCCTTTTTATAAAGCCAGCTTCTATTGTAAGTCCTGAATTCTCCTGGGCTTTCTATCCTAGGCAGGCCAAGCTCCAAGGTGGAAATGATCCCCTGGGACAGCTTCAGTGTTCCAGGACCCAATGTCTCTGAATGGTTAACTTCTTTGTGTGGCAGAAAGAGAAATAGCTCTCAAATAAAGGAACACGTGGGAGTTACAACAGGGCATCCATTTTCAGAAAATAACTCCTTCCGAATCAATTACCTATTCACTTTTCCAGTGCATTGAGCATTTAGACTTTCCCTTAGAGACAGGGTGGGAAATGTCAGTAAACAGCCAAACCATTTTGGACTGCTTCAGGTCTGGGCCAGGGATGGAGAGAGTGCGCCTGCTGTGCTCACTGACAGGAGGCTCCAGGCAAACACCAGACTCCTAGGCACTCTGTCCCCTCTCCACTGCACACCGACAGGAAACCGTGAGACAGAGGAGCCCGAGAGCCCCCAGGACTAGCCTCTTCAGATCTCCCTTTCCAGAAGGCAGGTTTGGTGTGTAGACAGGCAGACAGCACAAGAGAGCAGCTTTGCTTCCTCAGCCCAATGGGTTCCCAGATTCCCATTTCTTCCTAGTTTTTATCAGTGAGACTGAGCTTATCAAATCCTTTGCTAAGGTGTCGGTAATCAGGCTTAATGTTTCAGCATTCCCAGGAAAATTGTGTTTTCACAGGGGACAGAGCCCCTGTTTGACTTAAACCCAACATCTGAGATTCTAAGTGGGGAATCGGAGGCAGTGTCATTAAGGAAGTTTCTTGGGGACCAAGACACCTGGAGCTTCTGAGATTATACCCCTTAGGTATTCCCTGTTCTACCTCGAGGTGCCATGACAGGCTGGGACTGGTCCTGCTCAGATCCATCCTGCTGAGCCAGTATAAGGACAAGTTAAGCCTTCTTCTTTTTAGTGAAGAAGACTGGCCCTGAGCTAACATCAGTTGCCAATCTTCCTCTTTTTGCTTTAGGAAGATTGTTGCTGAGCTAACACCTGTGCCAATCTTCCTCTATTTTCTATGGGGGATGCCGCCCCAGCAAGGCTTGATGAGCGGTGTGTAGGTATGTGCCCAGGATCTGAACCAGCAAACTCCAGGCCGCCAAAGTGAAGTGGGCGAACTTAACCACTACGCCACTGGGCCAGCCTCAAGCCTTCTTGTTGTAACACGGTGGTTGTCCATGTTGGGCCAAATTGCTAAGGACTTTTCCAAGGCCTCCTTCTGTACATTTGGTTCCACATTTTCTCAGCAAATTGAGGACACACTTTGAACAGTGGCTTCTCTGATGTCTCTATGATCTGATTTAATTGAAAAAGAGATTAAAATCCCTTTCATCAAGGAGTTAGCAAGATTGGTTTGGCCTGGTAAAATCAGAGAGTCATGGGTTCATGCCACCCTTCACAAATGAGTCTCTGTCGCAGGAGAATAATTCAAGACAAGCAGGAAAACTGCAGTTCATAATTTCGTACAAATGATACGTCCAAGCCTGAGATTCTCAGGACTGGAGGGAAATGTAGGGCCAGCAGAAATCCCCAAGGCAGGGACCATGTAATGACCCACTTTCCCACTCATCGTACAAGGCTGAGCACACAGGATACCCTCAGTAACTGTTGAGTGCCCCAACTGTGCTGGGCAGAGGTGGGATGTCTGTCCTACAAGGGGCACATTAAATATCCCTGAGAGCCAAAGAGCGTATGGTTAATGGTCACTTACTCACAAACAGTAGGGAAGGACAGACCCACGAAGGCACTGGAGAGATATTCTGTGTACATTTCATTTGAGACTCCTTCCAAGTAGTACTTCTGCCACGTGTCTTCCTCAATCTAAAGGAGAACACAAGAGGAGGGTTTAAGATATGACAGTAGGATGGAAAAGGGAAACTTGAGTTATACCATTTAGTAAACAAATGAATGCACTGGTTATGTGATGGTGACCTTCTTTAGCAACCAGGCACACAATTACACAGCCCACATGAAGCTTTCCATGACCCTAAACTCATAGACTACAAGTATGTCCCCCCTAAGGCACCACCTCTTTTTAACCTGTGTGTTTCCCAAGGGTGTGGAGGCATGGGCGCTCACTCACAATGCTGGTGGGCAGGTAAATAGATACAAGTTTTTGGAAAGAAATTTTACAATTGTTATCAAAATTTATAAAAGTACATAGTCTTTCACACAACAATTCCATTTTAAGCGTTCATAGCAAAGAAACAAGCAGACAAGTATAAAAGACATGTATAAGAATATCCCTTCTATTCATGCAAAATTGGAAATAACCACAAATGGTATGTTTATTCAATGGAATAGAGAAAAGCAATTAAAAATTATGATGAAAATGTGTACCTGTTCATATGGAAATTACGTAAAAAGGTACAGTACTAGTACGTATAGTCCGATCCTATTCTTTTAAAACATACTATAATTACCTGAATGTTGGTAAAGCCATAGAAAAATCTAGAAAGCTTTATACCAAAATACTAATAGTTGTTATCTCTGAGATGTAAAATGACATTTTTTTCTCTATAGATTTCTTCATTGTTTGATATTACAGTGAAACAATACATCTATTTCTAGTTTGGAAAAAAAAATAGTAGATTTTTCCAACTCCACCTTGAATATCACAAAAGGTAAAATATAGTTTCAGAGTTATCTTACCCCAAATATCATTAAAATGCTTTTTTTTTTTTCTAATCAATTAAGTTCAACTGGTTTTCCCAACACCCTTCTTCCTGGTAGTCATTTCTGGAAGGATTTTACATTAGAATCAATCTTTAAAAACTAAAAAGTGAGGGGGCCAGCCCGTGGTTGAGTGGTTAAGTTCACACACTCCACCTGGGCAGCCCAGGGTTTGCCAATTTGGATCCTGGGTGCCGACCTACACACTGCTCATTAAGCCATGATGTGGCAGCATCCCACATAGAAGAAATAAAATAACCTACAACTAGGATATACAATTTCTGGGGCTTTGGGGAGAAAAAAAAAAGAAGAAGACTTGGCAACAGATGTTAGCTCAGGGCCAATCATCTTCACCAAAAAATAAAAAGAAAGAAAGAAAGAAAAAAGGAAGAAGAAGTTTCTTCTCCACAAAACAAGAAAAAAAAAAGAATTCACCAATGACAGGAAATTTCAAATAACATTAGAAAAAAATTATAAAGTGAATAAGAACAAGAATGCTGATGATCTCAGGGATTCCCAAGACAGGCGGGCAGGCTGTGTGGTCCTGGGGTCTCTGCAAGCTGCTGCCTCCCACGTTCACCTCTACTGAGGTTAGCGAGAAGACGATAGGCAGTTTCCCAGCCAAGAGAAAGTGTCTCTTTACAATTTTTTGTGCTGATATTGAATTAAAAGTCATCTTGCCTGTGGCCCAATAGTCAATGAGGGGAAATGCAATGTGTGAAGTTGAGAGAGTTGGAAACACTGGGAAATGCACACCTACCATCTACTTGGTGACATTCTGCAATACAAAAGCCAGGAATAATTTAGAAATAAATTGAATGCTCCCTGCTTCTATGCTATTTGTCTGCTTTGTGCTCAGTCTGGGGGATTAGATTATGTGGGTTAACTTCATTAGCTTGAGCTGCTTCTAACCTACTCCCACCCGTTAGACATTAGCTATGCACTGCTGCTGGGTATGGGTTGTTTATCTACAAATTGGTCTTCCCCAGAGTGCGGTATTTTAAAAAAAAGGCACTCAACCATTTCTATTGTTAAACTGTATGATTTTAAAAATTAACTGCAATGTGTTTAGCTAAGCACAAACTTCTTAATTTCCTTGAATCATAAGATGTCAACTTTTTTCAAATAAAAGATATTCTTGACTTTGTAAGCAAAAGTCATTAATTCTAACTAATTTGAAAAAATCCTAGTCTACATTAGTAAATAACTGAAAATATTTGTTTTACCAGTGGATAGGATACTATATGAGCAACTGCCAATTATAAATCCTTATAGTAGATATTTATGGGCAAGTAGTATTGTTAAAGTGGAAGAATTTAGCCTATTCTTTTAGCAAAGACGTTCTTTTTATAACGTGTTATTTAAATATTACACTTGATTTTCAAAAATAATGAAAATATGAACCTTTATCTCCATTATTATTGATTTTGGTGGTATTCCTCAATTAATATGGTTCTTTTAGTTATGGTCATATTTTCATGTCTCTATGTGCTAATGGAATTACTCTTTAGATCAAATTTTATTAATTACTAAAGTTAATCATTAAACTTTTTAAGTAGAAACAGATTTTTTTGTAGGATAACAATATTATTCATGTTCATTTTGAATTAGCAAAGATTGTTTCATTCATTCATTCATTCATTCATTCAGCAAATACTTATACTCATTCAGCAAATACTTCTGTATCTTAGGACCTGTTCTAATTACCAATTAAATCTTATTTAAACTGGTATTTATTTTCCCATATTTTTCTCTTTGCCAGAAAAAGCACCAGCCAGATGTATCTGGCTAAGATATATCTGACTAGATATATGTGACTTTCACTGATTTTTCCCATATTTCTTTTTCTGCAAGTTTGCCTTTGAGGCTGATCTGAAATGCTTGAGGACTGAAAGTCAACAAACTGGAAAAAATATATAGAACTTTTCTAGAAAGCCAAATTCCTCTTCACATCCGTATGCAGATTCCCAGTTGGTGTCTACAGTGCTAGATACAGTAGCACTGAATGCGCTGTATACATGCTGAGGAGTTTAAATTCAGCAGCAGAACCCTTTAAGATTTCCACATCTTTAACAGTATTTCTGAAGAAAACACTTAAAAATGGTTAAGATGTTAAATTTTATGTTACATGTATTTTACCACAATCAAAAAAAATCTTTAAACCCATATCTATAACAGAAGAACAGAAGAATCAATAATCATAATTACACTGAGACTCTTTAATCCGTAAGGTCAAGAATGACAAGTTGTAATAGAACAAGCATAGGAACAGGCCGTCACACCAGGAGAGTCAGGGAGTGGACAGCCAGCCTTCTGACACTGTAGGACGTCACAAACTTAGGCAACAGGCCGTCAACCTTCATCCCAAGGCGAGTGCTTAAATGATCACTTCCTGTCAAGGTTTACCCTTCTAAATCTCAACCTTGACAACTTTGACTGACTTTGGAAAAGCAAAAACAAAAGTGCACCTTTGTCACTTTTACCTTTGTCCGCAGTAATGAAATGCATTCTTAGGAAAGGAAAAATAAGTGTAAAATATGTTGAGTTTAAAACATTTGTGCCTTAACACGGAGAAAATGACAGTAAACAAAGAGATCTAGAGAGGGTGGAGCAAGTTGTTGTCATTATGACTGCTCTTTAACAGATGATAAAACAGAGGCACAGAGAGGTTAGGTAACCCACTGAAGGTCACAAAGCCACTTAGCGGTACAGACAGGATCCAGAGTTCACGTTCTTTACCACCCACCATAATACCTCTTGCTAGAGATGACAAGGTAAATATATAGGGTAGTGGTGTGCTAGGATTTTAGCGGGCAGGGAGGGTTTGCTGTATATAAGTACCTAAGGGGAAAATATCAGAACAGAAGCCCCTCAATGACTCAAAATCTTAAACCCTGGAGCCCATGACTTTGTAAGCGTTCACTGAGAAGTAAAACGGATTTTGAGTAGAGCTGAAAGGAGAGTTCAGGCTCCCTCTCAGAGCATGACAGCATCATTCCTATCCTATGAAATGGAACCATCCTAGCCTACAACTTCTTTCCTAAAATAGTACATGCTGTTCTCCACATTTGTGTTGTCAACGTATTTTTAGCTGTAATGCAAATACACACATCCCAGCAGAAAAATGAAAGAATGGGACCAAAATGACTTAGGGAAAGGCACCAAAATTAATTTGCCAGCCATTCAACAATCAGTCAAAGGCGAAGCATTTCCTGAGGCAGCAATTTCTCCCTTGGCTGTCAGATCAAACTCCGGCTGCTTTAGAAGAGCATCCAGCAAAGATGTGCAGGTGGTGTGCTGTAAGTCCTTATTCATCAAATGCTCACAGAACCTTCAGTGCGAAAAGAGAATTGAGCCATTGGGCTAGCTCGTTTACACTTCTCATGGTCTTATTTATCTACCTTTCATTATCTAATTTTTCAACCAGTCTAGTTCAACCCCCAAAGTAAATGGTTCATACCAATCCATCAAAGACTCCTTCCAACCAGAAACATCAGCTTTGGCTCCCAGGAAAGTAACACCTTCTTGATCCCAGATTCTGCATGTGTTACTAGTGGTAGGTTGATAACGACACCCTTTATTTTTTATGCTTTCTCTGATTAGAGTGAAACTGTGTTTCTCTAATGCTAACAGCCCTGTGAATGTAAAAAATCAACCATCTTGGCTAGGATATGTTACAACCACCATCTTCTGTTCCCAGCAAAGAGTCTGAATAACTGTATTGATTACAGCCAAATAATTTCGCAAAAGTCCATCCCTACCTCTGGAGTCATGTAAATAATTCCAAAGATTAGCATATAACAATCCTTATTCAATTGAAAACAAGCACACTGTTTTAATCAAAATATATGTCATATTATGCACATCAAAAATAATGAACTAAAAGGAAATTATAAAAACCAATAACCATTATGCTAATAGCTGCAATAAGCAAAGGTGAGTTGTGATATACACACTAACCTTGTCCCAAACTGGTAGTAGGAGGCTACTGTATTATCAGGTATTTATTGCATTTACTAATTTTTAAAAATGTATCCAAATTCTCAGTTAACATGCTTCCTCTAAAGAACGCACGGTTTTATATCATAAAACTGCTTAATAAGAATTAATTGGCCACATGTGAATGAACATTTGTACATATAAATTAC